TCACTGTTGTTGTGTTTGCTGATGGCGGTGGTGGTGGTTGTGGTGATGGTGGTGGTGGTTTTACGTGGCAGTCATTAAGCGGAGCTACGATAAGCTTCGATTTCTATAACAGAATCAGGTGTCAGAAACGATTATGATAAAGGCTTGTGGCCCTGCAAGTACACGTTGGTAGCACCCAACAATCCCGTATCCAAGCGAGAAATAACCAGTTGGCTGAGACAGCTTGTCGCAAACCGGAAGTCTCCAGGTTCCAAGCCAGGGATTGGCTCTCGCGTTAAGCCACCGTGAAAAATGAGGCACTTCCGTCTTCTTTTCGAACCAGAGCATTTTTGTTTTACTTGAAGCAGATACCCGTACCTGGTCGTGGGAGTAGAGAACTTCAAACCGGAGGAAAATAAACATCGAAATGCACGACAAAAGGAAACAATTATATAAAAGACCAACGCTAAATGCTGGGATGAAGTCCATTGTGCTCAGCAGAAAATCGATACAAGGCTGGTGTTTATATTAGGAAGTGGGTAAAAAGTGAGGAGGAACAAAATGGCAACGCTAAAGGAATGTGAATAATGTTCACTTCATTTGAAGAAGGAACTTATTGTTTATTGTTATCCTCTGAATTTAAGGACAGAAACCCTGTGCATTTCTGGACCGACAACTAACAACAGCAGTAACCAGGACTGTTTTAACAACATTACAGGTCCCGCGATTAGTGGGGGAGGGGGGGTTGGCGATTGAGGGTGTGTGTGGGGGAGGGGCAGTTCATTTAAGGTCCTACCCTTTTAAATATCATAATATAACAATTTTGTTAATTGACAGTTGTCACAACATACATCTGAGCATGTGTGTGTCATCATTGTGAAATCAGGCCCTCGTCCAAAAATGAAATCGAAGAAATCGACATTTTTCTGCGTTTATCTTTTTTCCGCAACATCTTTAGTTTGCTTTTAGCTCTGTTGGTATCACGCTGACCTACGGAGCGGATGGGCCCGGTTTTCCGAACTTGAGTTGTTTGGGGGACGTTTTTAAGTCTCTTAGCCCATTTGGCTCCGTCCTGTGGGAGATGGACGTTACATTTGGAAGCCCTGCTATCGAAATAACTTTACAATGTAGAAAGAGACGTTAAGTATAAACAATTCTTCGCATGTATTTGTTTCGCTATGAACTTTTCCCATGCTCGCGCCGCGGCATTGAAGGTTATGACCTTCATCTGCCTTTTGGAGGTACGAGGTTAAATTTTTGTTAAAGGGTACTAGTGTTTCGTTTGTTTTTAGTGGTTGTTGGTTTGTTCCGTTTTTAATGGGGGGGTTTTCTTGTTTGTTTGGTATTTTTGTTGTTGTTTCCTTTGCTTCCTTCTCCTGGAACATTTTCTTCCAGCCCGTTGTGCTGTCGGGGAGCAAGAGTTCCGTCTTCTAAACGATCTTTCTTGCGTACAGTACTGCGTTATACTCAATCATCATCTCCACACCATGTTTTGGTATAGTTGTGTAACGCCCCCAAGGGTACAATTTAGTTCAATTGGGAGGCAGGACTCTTCGATCCCGTCAACACGGGCTGAGAGGGATACAAAGTTCCCCCCCAGAGAAACCAATATACTCGATAAAATTCTCCACACCCTGAAATTGAACTCATATATTTTGCCTACGTCCTTGAAGCCCTTAACCACTTCACCATTAACATCTTACTGTTAGATTCTTACTGCAAACATAAAAAAATCCAATACCACAAGACGTTCACCACGTTAAGCCCATCACTCGTTAGCTCGAGAATGTCTTGGCCCAGTTGGTAGGGTTGTGGAGCATGTTTGGCTGTAAAAACAATAACTAAAATACAGTCAAATCTGCTTTAACAAACATTCACTTCCCATTTCTCACCTTGTGTTTTTTAACATTATAACGCTAGGCCTACTGTATAAGACTTGTCTGGTGCAACCACTTTTCTACTCAACGATGGTTTGTCGTCTTGAGAAAATTTCAACTGCACATTGTCATGCCATCATCATCATTGCCTTTCTCATCTTGGATCAGAGTATAGGTCCCGAACAAACACTTTCCACTTTTCCCTATTATGGGCTAGCCTCTTGATGTTATTCCATGTCTTCTCATCTTTCTGTACATCAATGTATGTGACTCTTCTCCAGGTTCCACGTGGTCTTCCCCTTGATCTTTTACCTTGTAGATTCGATCCTGCACATATAATCAAAATTTATTTTTCTTCTCGCAGGTCGCGTTTGTGGAGCAACAGCAACAGAAGCGCCGTGTGAAGAGAGGTCTCGTTGAGGACAGAGAACTTCATGACCGTGAGCTGGCCAGGGAGATAGCTGCAGGAGGCGGGGAGCTCCATGACCCTGAGCTCATACATGAGTGGTATCTCAACCCCACCGGTTCGGTGAGGGACAA